AATCTGGGGAGTTGTTGCCAACACAGAATGTTTATCTTGGTCAACATCCATCAACACTTTGTTTACTGTTGTGGGGACAGAGACAGACGCCACGACCGCGACGTCAGGGCTTCACAGCTCACAGCTGATTGGCCGGTAGGGCTGAGTATCCTTCAGAAGTTGCCGATACAATAAATACCTCGATACAGTGAGCTTTCGATTAGACACCATTCGATACAATATAGTTCAAATCGATTCAATATGGTTCAATAAAAAATAAAGTTTAAATCATGTCTGTGATACTGAAAGTTTTTGTTAATCCACTTCTTGTGCAAAGTTCATATGAAACACAAACATTTGAATGATGAAAACAGTGAAAATGACAAATGTGTCGCATAAATTAACAACAAAACTGTAGTTGTAACAAAATAATTGTGTAAAATAAACCAAAAAAATCCTCTTGGTGATATATCGATACAGCAGCCCACAATATCACATTAAACGATACAATTCATCGATATTTAGATATTTTTGCACACTCCTATTGGCCGGTGTACGGGCCACAACTTCCGGGGTTTTTGCAAACCGTCTAGTCCAGTGGTGCTCAATACGTCGATCGTGATCTACCAGTCGATGGCCAAGGTCGTGTGGGTAGATCGTCGTGTCTCGTCTCGGACTCGTGTTTGGACTCGTGTTTGGACTCGGTCTTGTCTCTCACTCGAGTTCTGACACTCAACAAGTGTGATCATGTTTCATTGCCGGCCGCTGCTGTTGGTAATAAACTTGTAGCGGGTGCAGGAGCGTGTGGGGCGTCTCAGTGCAGCCTGTGCGCTCATTTGAAACCCGCGGAGACTCTACGGCGCATCACAAACACACACGCTCCCTATGCACGGCTCGTCTGCGACAGCGTGTGCCCTCGTGTACCAGCGTGCATCACAGGGCAGGTTCAACTTCCTAAACATCCTACCTGTCCACCTGCCTCACGTCAGCACGCCGCCCCTCGCCTTTTCACGCTCTCGCTCCTTCCTGCGTACAGCCAACACAAGCCCCTCCCACAGTGCGGCTGATTAGAAGAACAAGACCAAACGTGAAGCAAAAACCAGTCTAAATTTGTGTTCCAGTGTTGGCACAAAGCAGGTCTACAGCATAGAGCGGATCTACAGAACAGACCTACTGCCACATTTGGCTGAAGTTTGTGTAACAAAAGTGACAAATGCATCTGTGTTTGTCACGATGTGCGTTTGGTTTGGTAAACGTGCAGAGGCTGGTAAATATCACTGCAAAACCACAAAAGAATGAAACTCCAGTTTGGAACTTTAAAAAACAGGTTTAAAAATCTTCCTTCACTTTTTTCACAGTTTTGTGTAAAGTGCCAGAGGAAGTTCTCTTAAAGAAGAGGTTCTCAAACTGTGGGGGAGGCTCCAAAAAAGGGGCACAGAGTGTTTCAGTGCAGTTTGTTTGACTTTGTATCAGGTCGATCATTTTGACTTGGTCATTTTGTAAGTAGCTCACATGATGTAAAAGTGTGAACACCTCTGGTCTAGTGTTTCTGTTTCCTGACCTCGTCCCTGGAGAGAAATGAAACTGAGTGGAGGCACTAGGTGACACCAGCCTGGCAAGGAAACACCTTCAACAGACTTAAAAATTTAGTTTTTACCTCTGTTGTCTTTTAAAAATTCCATTCAGAGTTTTTTACAGAATCATTGAACATGTTTTTAACACTTTTAAATATTTAATCTGCTAATAGTTTACTGTCTCATATCTGTATTCACTGTTTCATGTTATGGTCGATGTGTGAGTGTTTTCTGTTTGTGCTTCTGTTTTATTCTGCCTCTTGGCCAAATCGTCACTGAAAATGAGAAGGTGTTCTCAACCGTCTTAATAAAATAAAATGAGAGCCTGAGTCAGAAGAAGCTGGAAGAGCCACATGTGAACTTCCTGTTTGGAACGAGGCGACTAGTGCGTTACCTATGTCCATTTATATAAACGATTTATGGTTTGTACAAATCTAAACTCCAGGGTCACACAGGAGAGTTTGTTTGTGGATCAAATTATGATGCTTCAAAAATTACAGCCATCGTGATTTTGCTTCTTTCCTCCAGTCACATGGCGATTTCGATCCAATTTACTTGAATCTTGCGCTTCTTACAGAGAGAGGAGCGTCGTTTTCCAAGACCAAGTGAAGTGGAGCCAGAGTCAGTGGAGCCGGAAGTGTGCCCATGCTCGTTTCCTGTTTGAAACAAGGTGTTTAGTGGTTTAGCTGTGTGCATTTATCTAAAAGTCTGTGGGAGGAGGAGGAGCGTTTGTTTTGTTGTCGTCTGTATCTGACCAGACTCCAGAGCAGGAGATAACAGGATATAATTAGAGCAGCTGAAGCACGGACGCCTTTAGTCACCAGGTCTGCCCCACCGCCGTTTAAACACAGCACTTAAAGCCACAACGTGTAACTTTTTATCCAAAGAATAGACTCAAAAAAAAAAAAAAAAAAAAAGCACATTTCCATTTTCTCATGTGGTGATACAGGAAGAGCCCGGCTGTGTTTTTAAACTCCGTCCTGTCAAAAGGAGATGTTCACTGGAAAACTACCACTTCATGACATCACAAGGTGGAACAGAGCGTTTAGAGTTTTGGAGATGTAGACAGACTCATAATAAACAGTCACTCAAACACGTGAATGAAACAAAACACAAGTCCAGCTCTGTTTTTGAGGAGGTAATGACATTCTTAAAGATCACAATAGGTTTGGGCGATATCCAATTTTTGATACCGTGAAACCGTCTCAGGATTTTACTGGGGTTTATGGTGTTACTGTTTTACCAAAACATCAGCGTTTACGAGCGTAACCTCACGAAACCACAGCCGCGTGTCAAAGCGAGAGCGACTCCACCTGAAGCTGCAGCAGGACGAACATGCGCAGCACTGACTCTGTGTTTGTCAAAGTAAAGACGATCAAACTTGACTGAGGCGTTTAGTCGCTTGTATCAAATCCACAGAGAAACTATCAGAACACACTTGGATTTACCTTCTGCACACACTCACCACCACAAACGACACGATTTTAAAAGTAAATTTTAAAGCTCTTGTTAAGAGTCTTTGTGGAGCTGGGCTCTTTCACACGACACAGATCTGCCCCAGGACACGATGTGCTGATGTAAACGCACAAATACAACCAAAGATTCTTGCTCTCTGTGGATTTTGACGAGGACTCGCACCAACGCTCACATAGAGACTCAAAAAACAAGATGGATCCTATTTTCTGAAATCTCCGCGCGCAGGATGTGCTGCTCCAAACACACGCTGCCCTCAGTCACTTTCCATATATACTAAAAGTTACACATCCAAAAGTTACAGTTTTTACGCTCGCGTGTTGCACGTGCAGTGGAGCCAGGTCCTTAATCTCTGAAAAGTTAAAACACAAACCGTCTCCAACACGACACGAACAGAACAGACTCACTGTCAGCAGAACATCCTGTCACTGAAAAAAACTAATATTCAACTGAAAAAACAAATACTCCACTGAAAAAACAAATACTCCACTGAGTTGTGTCCTTTAGTCCGACAAAAGTTGAACGGCATCAGCAGCACAGGAAGTGAGTTGTTTTTATCAGCGCTTACAGTTGTGCCATGTGGTTTTAAGTTTAGTTTCTGTAAAACGTAAAGAAGTGTGCCCCTGAAGCCAAAATGCTCCAAATTACAGAAGTACAAGTATTTTTGGGGGACCAACTCTCTTGCAGCCGGACTTGTGTCTTGTCTTGGTCTTTTGAGCGTCACGTGACAGTGGAACGAAACTAATCGAACGTCGTCTCCCCAAGAAACATTATAAACACTAATAGATTTATCGTGATCACATTAATTGAAAATACAAACACACAATCACTTGTGCTGAGCAAACACATTTAGATATCACTAAATTATAATATTATATTAGGTCCTTTTGTGCTGCAGATTTTTTTTTATGATGGTGATGAAACTGATACTGTTGCTATTTTTTGATACGGCGATAGAACATAATACTGTATCAGCGCCTAACCCAAGGTCACAAGAGTATTTTGTGTAACATCAGACCTTCTAGAAGAAATCCTCCTCCACACATTTGACTGTAGGTCCCGGTCAAGCAGAAGTAAACATCAAGGCCAAAACTTCAAGTGAATTCATCTGATATAAAAATGTATTGAACAGATACATATGTACTCGAGTTTATCAAACTGTTGACCTTTTTTCTGGACCATTTTTGGTTCTAAAGTTCCACATGTTTTAAACAGACCATGAATGAAACATGGAACAAACATTATTTCCCAAATTTCAAAGACCCAAAAATCATGTAAATAAATGTTTGTATTTCATCATATCTTGTGTTATTCCATCTTTGAACTGTTGATGAAGGGACAGGATTTTTTTTTTTTATGTATTTAAAATGATAAACATTTTCTTGGAAGGACTGACATATTTTATAGAAATAGTTTCCTTTCGTTTTGAAGTAATATTAAAATATTCAGAAGAAAAAAAATGACAAATGATGTAAAATCCTGCACCTTCTACTTGTTGCACAATTTTCCCTCCGTTACTTTTCCCTCCGTTACCATGAACTTTCTTAATAAAAAATCTCATGAGTCAAAAAGTCAGAGGTTTTTCAACCTAATCTTGTACCATATGGTAGAAAACTATATGAAGCAAATATTCAAACCAGTTTGTTAAGGATATGGAAGTGAGAACCAAGAGTTATCACTGTTTGGATTTATTGACCAAAAAAGTGCTGCATATTTCATTCCCTCCGTTACCGACATGAGTTTTTTAAATTTTTAGTCTTGAACTTGAAAGAATCTCACAGGTTTAACTTGACCCTGTTGGAGTGTAACTCTTTCCTACATTCTGATACTTTACTTATTTCAATAGTTCCTCTAGTTTCTGAATAAGAGACATTTGAATGTCAAAAATCTGACCCTGTTTCCTCCGTTAACACTTGACCGGACCCTGTAGTAAAAATGTTTCTAATCGTCTCGTCTCTTTGTGTTTCTCTTCAGATGGCGTCCGCTAACTCCACGTACGGCCAGAAGGAGGCGTCGGACCAGAACTTCGACTACATGTTTAAGATCCTGATCATCGGGAACAGCAGCGTGGGGAAAACCTCGTTCCTCTTCCGATACGCGGACGACTCCTTCACTCCGGCCTTCGTCTCCACCGTGGGGATCGACTTTAAGGTCAAAACCATCTACCGCAACGACAAGAGGATCAAACTGCAGATCTGGGTACGAGACGCGACAGAAACACGACGACGTCCTCAACCTAACGCAGAACACAGAGCCTCAGCGCCGCAACGTTTCCTCAGTTATTCTCAAACCGAAAGCAATTTACAGGCAAACTCTGCGTGGACGAGCGTCTGGGGCGTCCTGCGTTTTTGCGGCGTGTTTTCTGGCATCAGCGCGGCGAGAATTTGGCGTCGATGCAGCAAGTTTCGAGCGTTCAGGCGTCAACTCTCTGAGCGAAGCTCCAGGGCATCGGAGTCAGAAATCGAAAACGTGCCGCAACAAATAATCAGGGACGAGGATCCGGTGACAATCCGTGTGTCGTTCGTTCTTTGGGTGAAGAAAGAAAGAAAGAAAGAAAGAAAGGAGGGTGACGTTAGACAGAGGAGAGGGAAAGACGGAGGGATGACAGAGGAGAAAAGAGAGAAAGATCAGAGAGAGAGAACAAGGTTAGAGAGAGAATAAAGAGGAGAGAGAGGATAGAGAGAACAGAGAGAGGAGAGAGAGGAGAGAGAGGAGAGAGAGGATAGAGAGAACAGAGAGAGGAGACAGAGGATAGAGAGAACAGAGAGAGGAGACAGAGAGATAGAGAGGAGAGAGAGGAGATATAGAGACTTCAGAGGAGAGAGAGAGAAGAGAGGAAACAGAAGATAGAGAGAATAGAAAGGAGAAAGAGAACAAAGAGGAGAGAGAGAAGAAAGGGGAGAGAGGATGGACAGAATAGAGAGGAGAGAGAGAATAGAGAGAAGGCAGAGGAGAGAGAGAAGAGAGAGAGAAGAGAGAGAGAGGAGAGAGAGAAGAGAGAGAAAAGAGAGAGAGAACAAGGTTAGAGAGAGAATAAAGAGGAGAGAAAGGGTAGAGAGAATAGAGAGAAGGCAGAGGAGAGAGAGAGAGAGAGAAGAGAGAGAGAAGAGAGAAGAGGAGAGAGAGGAGAGAGAAGAGAGAGAAGAGAGAGAGAAGAGCCGCGTCAAATAATCAGGGAGGAGGATCCGGTGACAGTCTCTCTCTCTCTCTCTCTCTCTCTCTCTCTCTCTCTCTCTCTCTCTCTCTCTCTCTCTCTCTCTCTCTCTCTCTCTCTCTCTCTCTCTCTCTCCCTCATCTCTCTCTCTCTGTCGTTCGTTCATTTGTTTTTCAATATAAAACCAAAAATAAGAAAACGAAAAAAACAACAGTTTTCTTCATTATTTTCCTCTAAATCTAGAGCCCGACCGATATGGATTTTGTTGTGGCCGATATGAAACCGATATAATGGGAGTTGGAGCTGCCGATATAATCACCGATATATTTAGTGATGTAAAAATTCACTGTAAATGTTGAATTGATTAAAAAACTTAGGTTTGGCTCTGGTGGATTTTAAATTGGGTTTATTTGGAAACATTTATTGTTCTTTCTTCTCTTCCTCCTCCCTCTCTCTCTCCTCTCTCTTCTCCTCCTCCTCTCTCTCCTCTTCCTCTCTCTTCTCTCTTCCTCTTCTTCTCTTCTCCTCCTCTTCCTCTCTTCCTTCCTCTCTCCTCTCTCTCTCCTTCTCTTCCTCCTCCTCTTCTCTTCCTCCTCCTCTTCTCTTCTTCTCCTCCTCTTCTCTTCCTCCTCCTCTCTTCCTCCTCCTCCTCTTCCTCCTCCTCCTCTCTTCTTCTCTCCCTCCTCTTCTCTTCTCTCCTCTCCTCCTTTCTCTCTTCTCCTCCTTCTCTTCTCTCCTCCTTCTTCTCTTCTTCCTCCTCCT